TGTTTCCCTTTCCTTCCTCTTCCTCCAGTTCTGATGTTCACAGGCCCCATTCCATTTCTACAAGCCTGAACTCCCAGCCCTTTCTACATCTTGCACTCTCTTGGGAGAGGAAATCTGGCTCCATTTCTCACTGCATCTGTGTGGAAATCTGCCCATTTCCTGGTTAGCAAGGGAGAGTCAGAAACAGACCCTGACCGAAAAAACTTCTTCCTTCATAGAAAGGATCTTGGAGGATGTGGTATGTAGAATTTTCAGATGTCCCCTAGGATCCCCACCCCCATGGTGTATATACCCTACATAATCCCTGAGTCTATGAACATGATAGATATTATTCCTGTGATTAGGTTATATGAGATGACACATTCACTTTAAAAAGGGAGATCATTCAAGGTGCGCTTGACCTAGTCAAATGGGCTCTTTAAAAGCAGAAGTGTTTCTGAGGTTGGTCACTGAGGAAGAAGTCAGAGATGTGCTCTTGCTAGGCTGGTAGAAGTAACAACCATTTTGTGAACTGTCCATAGGGACCATAAGTCAAGGAATGTGGGTGGGAAGTAAGAGAAGCCCCTGATAAGGAAACAGGGACCTCTATCCTGCAACTTCAAGGAGCTGATTTTGGCCAACAACTTCAATTACTTTGGAAGTTGATATGGTTTGGCTGTGTCCCCACCCAAATCTCATCATGAATTGTAGCTCCCATAATTCCCACATGTTGTGAGAGGTAGCCAGTGGGAGATAATTGAATCAAGGGGGCAGTTTCTCCCATACTATTCTCATGGTTGTAAATTCATCTCACAAGATCTGATGGTTTTTTTCACTGGGCTATCACTTCTCTTTTGTCTGCCACCATGTAAGATGTGCCTTTCACCTTCTGCCATGATTGTGAGGCCTCCCCAGCCATGTGGAACCATGAGTTAAACCTCTTTTTCTTTATAAATTACTCAGTCTGAGGTATGTCTTTATCAGCAGTGTGAAAACAAGGACTGATACAGAAATGGATTTTTTTTCCCCAGAGTATCCAAAAAGAATCACAGCCTGGATGACACCTTGATTTCAGCCTTGTGAGACCCTTCAAAGGGAACCCATCAATGCTGTCGCTGGACATCTGACCTACGCAACTGTGAGCTGATAAGTGGGTGTTGCTTTGGACCTCTAAGTTTGCCATTAATTGTTACCTAGCAATAGAAAGTCAACATAGAGGGAGAGTATAGACAGATAGGATAAGAAAGCTCTTATATGAATGATTTCTGATTCTGTTGGAGCTGAAAGTATTACCAGTCACACAGAGCAAGGGCTAGGGGCTAAATGAGATGCACTGATGGTAGATGCTGATAGAAGCCTGTGGAGGGGACCTTGTGGCCTAGGAGAGATGGAGCACATACCAGTGACAATGGGAAGATTTTGTAGCTGGAGAGAACAGGGAAAGCCTTCGGGTAAAGAGAGTGATTTAAGCAAAATTGTGTGAGCAGAAACATGCAAGAGGCGCTATACAAAGAGTGAGTAGGCTGCTAACAATCCCATCTATCTTCCCTGACTTGATTGCAGCCATTCCAGACATTTCCCTGAATATGTTATGCATTTTCACATCCCAGGCATTTGCAGAGACCCCTTCTTCCGCCTATAACTCCCTTTCTGCCTTCCTCCCTTGTCTTTCAAGACCCAGCCCAAGACTATAGTTCCCAGTCTCAGAAAGGTGAATCCCAAGCCCAAGTTTTCATGCTCATAAATAGAGTCTGAAACTTCAATAGACTTGTTCTTTCTACATCCCACTTTTAGTAAAGAAAGGAAAGAAACTCCTGCTAGGTCAATAATCAACCTCAAATTTATCCTTTTGCTCTAATTCTCATTTCCAAATGGCAGGCTTTCTTACAGTGGGGCACACCCACCAGGCTGGCCAGGCTGGCAGCCCAATTCTGTAGGAGCCCTTGGCTGTGAATTTATACAGCAGCTGGAACTGTAAGGAGCTTCCCGAGGCTCCCCGAGAGAGCTGGAGGGCCCCAGGCTCTTCCCACAGCATTCTTGATCATGTTCTCATTTCCTCCTCCAGAAACGTGGGGCTAAAAAAAGCCCAGAAGCTGAGGAAGGGCTGAGTCAGACCCTCAGAGTGGAGCAATCACTGCGTGGCTGCTCCTTGTAAGAAACATCCCGTTGCGCCTGAGTTGTTTATTGCCAAGAGCTGTAAGTGAAAAATGAGCTCTCCTAAGACAGGCTGGGAGGAGGCTCCTCTTCCTGGAGATGGCACAATGCTTAACAGCTTGGAAATGTTCTGTGCCAGTATAAAAGGAGTGGCATACATCCCTTGGAACAGAAAAGCCTGGTGACAAAGGGGAAGGAGCCTGGGCTGGAAGCCAAGTGGCATGAAGGTTAGTCTCAACTTCATTGCTTACCAGGGACATCAAATGAATGATACCCTTACCTGCTCAGAGTCTCCCTTTTCTCAGTTGCAAGATGAAAATGTAAGCCCAGATGATGTTCGAGTTTTTTTTCTGGGCCAGGCTTTCTTTTGGTTTGTCCAAGCAGCAATCCAAATGCCAGGTCTCAAACTCACTCTCAGGCCCTGAATCATGTGAGCTGTTAATGGTGGAGAAAGGAATTCCATTATGGCCTATGGGAGCCATTGCTCCATTGAGTCAGGTTCAGTCAGCACCCACAGATCAGGTACCTCTGCTGTCCAGCATCTGGGAAATGGCTGGGGATACAGAGGTGAAAAAGACAGGGTTGCTTCAGTAACTCGTCTTCTAGCAGGTGAGAGTATCAGTAGAAAATGTGGACAAAACAAGAAGATGACCAACAACACAAACTGCTAAGCCCTGAACGAATGATCTGGGCAGGTAGCTCAGAATGAGGAACGGTTCACAAGAGTCCAGGTGGGAGTGGGTTTCAGCTGGAAATTCAATTCTGTTACTGTTGGGTTGGTACAAAAGTAATTGCGTTTTTGCCATTACTTTTTTTTTTTTTTTTTTTTTTTTTAGACTGAGTCTCGGTCTGTTGCTCAGGCTAGAGTGCAGTCACTCGATCTTGGCTCACTGTAACCTCTGCCTCCTAGATTCAAGTGATTCTCCTGCCTCAGTCTCCCAAGTAGCTGGGATTACAGGCACCCAGCACCACACCCAGCTAATTTTTGTGTGTTTTGGTAGAGACAGGGTTTTGCCATGTTGGCCAGGCTGGTCTCAAACTCCTGACCTCAGGTGATCCACCTGCCTCAGCCTCCCAAAGTGCTGGGATTACAGGTGTGAGCCCCTGCACCTGGCCACGCCATTGCTTTTAAATAGCAAAAACTGCAATTGCTTTTGCACCAACCAAATATATTTTTCCCATCTCAATAAAGTTTTATTGAGAAAGAGGTCGGTAAGAAATGACTAGAGAGGTCAAAATTTACTTTCTTTAGATGATCTAACATTTTAATGTCCATGTAGTTTTTCCCAGACAGCAAGAATAATTCAGGGCTGGTTTTCATCCCAATGTTTCCCCATACTTGAGAGAAAAACCATTCACACACAGCGATGGGGGCCACTGAACTGAAAAAACTTCCAATGCAAGAGTAAGAAACTAAATCATTACTGAAGAGTTCAAGTCATATTTCGATGATACTCTCCCTCTTAGATTCACAGTCAGCACTTCCAAAATGTCTTTCAAACATTTTAAAAAAATTATTAATGACATTTGCATTTTAAGCCACAATTAAAGCAAATGTTAAGATTTAATGACATATTTTAATATTTCCAAATATCACACTGGGTGCAGTGGCTCATGCCTTTAATCTCAGCACTTTGGGAGGCCAAGGCAGGCAGATTGTTTGAGCTCAGAAGTTCGAAAGCAGCATGGGCAACATGGCGAAACCCCATCCCTACAAAAATTAACTGGGAGTGGTGGCGTGCACCTGTAATCCCAGCTACTTGTGGGGCTTAAGGCAGACTTACTGGAGCCCAGGAGGTCGACGCTTGCAGAGAGCCATGTTCACACCATTGCACTCCAGCCTGGGTTACAGAGCAAGACTTAGTCTCAAAAAAAAAAAAAAATCATTTAAAAGGCTACATTTAGTCAGGTGCAGTGGCTCATGCCTATAATTCCAACACTTTAGGAGACTGAAATGTGAGACTCACTTGAGGCTGGGAGTTTGAGACCAGCCTTAGCAACAAAGCAATACCCTGTCTCTACAAAAAAAAATTTTTTTAATTAGCTGGGCACAGTGGCATATACCAGAAGACCTAGCTACTAGGGAGGCTGAGGAGGAAGGATCACTTGAGCCTAGGAGTTTAAGGTTACAGTGAGTTATGATTGTGCCACTGTACCCCGGAATGAGACCCTGTCTCTAAAATAAATGAATATAGGCCTTAAAGGCTTCATTTAGTTTTATGATTTTCTCATTGGGATTTTTTTGTTTGCCATCATCTTTTTTTTCAAAGCTTGAAAAATGAATTAAAATACTCAAAATTTGAGACATCATGCCTACAGAAAACAAATAAAACAGAAGACTGAATAAAATATACTACATTATATATTTATAAAGCAAATACTATATAGCTACCAGTCAGGTTCTATGGTTCTATAGATTCCCTCTATTTTCATCTAAATTCATCTAAATTATGTGTATGCAATTTGTAACCGTTACTGTAATGTAGCACATTAGGCACCTGGGGTGCTTCCTGCTATACACTCTGTACTTAGTAGGTAGTCATCCTAATTGTGAGTCACTGATTCATTCAACAAACATCCACTGAGTATCTATTATGTGCCAGCTTTGTATCAAGCACTGGAGGAAGAAAAATTACTAGACATAGTGCCCCATTCCAGCACCACAAGGGAGACAGACATATGTAACTGAAAGTGATTATAGCTCAAGTTGGTGGAGAGCTCTGCCTGGCGACCCCCGGGCATAGAGGAAACAGTGGTTCATCTGCAAAAGGAGGAGTTTGCCAATGAGCACAATTAATGACACATAAGTAATTGCCACCACAAGCAATGACATGAGCAAAGGCACAGAGACCTGAGTGGGCAGGCTCATCTCTGTGCACAGTGGGGCAGGCAGGATGGGGGATTGGGGGATGGATCAGGAAAAAAGTTGGACTTTTTCTTTGGGAGCAGGGGAACTAGGAGAATCATGTAAGTACATCAAATCTATGGCAAATATTTTTCTCACAGTGGGGTGGAAGTTTTGGGCTTGTGTAGAAATATTTACCTCCACATAGTAATAATAATAATTACTATTATTATTATTAGCAATTATACTACTGCTGCTGAGCCTCCTGAGCATTGTACATGTCTTATATCATTTATCACCACAAAAATCCCCTGAGGTGTCTACTGTTATTACTGAGAGGCAGTAGAATTTAATTATTATGAATGCATGCTCTGAAGCTAGGTTATTTGTATTAAGGTTCTGGCTCCACATTTAGGCAAGTAGCTGAACTTCCCCATGACCCAGTTTTCTTATCTTTATAATGAGGTAATAAAAGTGCCAAGCTGATGGGGTTGTTGAAAGGACTTAATAAAATTCTACCTGTGAACTGTTTAATATCTGTCCAATACATTGTGTTTAACAAAGGTTGCCTCTTATTGACCCATTTCACAGAGAAGAAAACAAGCTTGGGGAGAGGAGGTCACATTTCAAAAATCACATGGCCAGTAAGTTGAAGGTTTTGGATTCAAACCCAGGAAGTCTCAACACAGAGCCCTATCTCTTCACCATCTAACAAGCCAGGTTTGGTTGCTAAAGTTGGGATTTTCTCCGGCAAACTTTTGACATGCTTAACTCTGTTTCAAAGACTTTCTTTTTTAAAATTAAAAAAAAAAAAGTTGGCTGGGGGTGGTGGCTCACACCTGTATCCCAGCACTTTAGGAGGCCGAGGTGGGTGGATCACCTGAGGTCAGGAATTCAAGACCAGCCTGGATAACATGGTGAAACCCCATTTCTACTAAAAATACAAAAAATTAGCCAGGCATGGAGGTGTGTGCCTGTAGCACCTGTAACCCCAGCAGCCCAGGAGGCTGAGGCAGAAGAATTGTTTGAACCTGGCAGAGAGAGGTTGCAGTGAGCTGAGATCATACCATTGCACTCCAGCTTGGGCAACAAGAGTGAAACTTTGTCTCAAAAAAAAGGTTAGCAGACAGGATCTGGCTATGTTGTCCAGGCAGGAGTGGAGTGACTATTCATAGGAATGATCATGGCACACTGCAACCTGGTACTCCTGGACTCAAATGATCTTCCTGTCTTAGTCTCATGACTCGCTGAGACTACAGGCGTGCACCACCATGCCTGATTCAAGGACTTTCTTAAGTCATCCCCTGCCAAAATGTCCATCCAGAAGGGGATGAGGAAATGTTAATCTATTTGGTTATTGCTACCTGAAGGAAAGATTAATTAGTTAATTAATGGATTTTATCAAACATTTATTCACTTACTGATATATAGGTTAAATATTTGTTGCCTCCAAATCTCATGTTGAAATGTGATCTCCAATGTTGGAGGTGGGGCCTAGTGGGAGTGGGAGGTGTTTGATTCATGTAGGCAGATCTCTCATGAATGGCTTGGTGCCTTCCCTGCAATAATGAGTTCACTGGAGATCTGGTTGATTAAAGGAGGCTGGCACCTCCTCCTCTCCTTCTTGGTCCCACTCTTGTCATGTGACACCACCTGCTCCACCTGCACCTTCTGCCATAATTGTAAGCTTCCTGAGGCACTCACCAGAAGCATGCTTCTTGCACATTCTGGAGAACCATGAGCCAAATTAAACCTCTGTTCTCTGCAAATTACCCAGCTAATCCTTTATGGTAATGCAAAGTGAACTAACACACTTACTCATCCCCTAAGTGTTCAGCATCAAATTTTGTCATTTCATATACTGTAAATTATTTCAGATACTGTCCACCACCAAAAGTGTCTGACTGTTCTCATTTTCTAAGTGGAGATATTGATGCTCAGAGGAGTTAAATAACATGTCCAAAGCCAGACAATTGCTGTTGACTTTCCAATGTCTACCCTGCACTATCTGTAGGGTGGAGCCTGATTAATGTGAGCTAGTCACAGAAATCACATCTCCATTTCCAGTGGGAGAATTCTGACCTAAGCCAATTAATGCAGAGCATCTTGCCAGCTGTAGGGATTAGTTCAGAAATGAGCAAACATTTGAATAAAAAAGGTGCATGAGGAAATTTTCTGGGGCTTCTGCAGATATTGTCCTCATTCTCTAGAGGAAGCATCAGCAGGAGACAGTTGATCCTTTGACATTGCTGTGTGTGGATTTGAGGTCTGGGGATGTTGCAGCCCCCTCGCAACCACCTTGTTGTGACACTAGTGCAGGGGTGGGAATGGCCCGGAGAATCACAGAGACCACTGGATAAAGCCAATCCTGAAGCTTCCGGCTCTGTGGGCCAACAGATGTCCTTATTGTCCCAACAGTCTGAGTAAGAATTTCTGCACAGCTCGCAAAATGCGGAACTTGGTTCCAAGTGCAAGCCTAAACTGGGGCTACTCCCCAATTCCTACCGTGCCCGGCTGCACACATGGTTCTTCTATTCGAGTTGTTTATCATTTGGCAGGAGGTTTTTGGCATTCTGCTATAGTGGCAGATTTGGTCATCATGAGTCACAATGCCAAGCTGATGGTGGTTTGAGTCATTGTTTTTCTGTTGTCTATTTCTTTCATAATAAATCTGTATTTCTTAGATAATGAAAACAGCAAGGGAAAAATTTCATGTGAGGCAGAAGTAAACAAAAAAGCTCTGCTTTTAGGAGGTTTATGTAAAGATCAAGCTGTATGATGTGTGTTTAGCATGCTTTAAAGAATCCTAAACTGGGTGAGGCCCAAGACAGATAAAAGACACTGAGCCTTTTATCACACCGCTAGGCACAGGTGACTTTTGAGACCTCTTAGTTAATTAGGAGAAGCTTGCTGTAGTTATTCACAAAGCTCCCTAATTTTCCCAAGTGAATGGGTGAGGGCTGGGTTGAGAAGAGATGGGAGAGATGGTAAGAATCCTCTGAAGCCCATTTCTGGAACCTTGGTTTCTCAGGATCCCTGCTTCCTTGGTGGGTTTTCTTTCTGCTCTCCTGCAAGTGTCCCTTCTGAGCCTCTGACTCCCTCGGACTGGCCCCAGCTAACCCTTTGTTGCTAAGGATGTATCACCTTGCTGGGCTTTACCAAGTGCATTAATAAAACAGCTTCTATGATTGTAGCCTCACAAAGATAGGCAAGGAAAAAGCCCTAATATGGAAAGCAGAAACCACTCTCCAGCTGGAGCCCAACTCCTGGCCCTCCCGCCCCCAAAGGCATAGGCTAAGGTTCCTTTACACTCACTGGTTGGATTAATTTCAGTCTCATTGACAATTCCCTCCTCCAGCCTCACTTACCTGTTGTTGTTTCTAACCTCAAAAAATGTCATGGCAACAAAGATCAGAGGAAAGATCACAGTGTCTGGAGTCAGAGACATATGCATTTGCATCCCAGCTCTGCCTCTTGCTAGAACTCTGATTTTCATCAGGTTGCCTGAGGTCAGTTCCGTCATCTGTAGGTTACGATGAATTAAATGATGTAAAAGAAACCTTACACATGCATGAAATTACTGAGGAATTTATGTACTTTTGGAGGAATTATGAGTCAGGGAAGCAAGAGGGATGCCTTTGTTTTCTCCCAGGGGTGAGAATGGAAGGCAAGGAAAAGTGTTATAGCTGAGGGAACAGACAGTGTAAGGCCTAGGGACAAATAAAGTTTGTAGCTGGAATGGAGAATATGGGAAATAAATTAAGGCTGGAGAGCTGAGGGTAATCTACATGGTTCAAAGCCATATAAGGACTTAACACATTATCCTAAGAGAAGGGAGGACTTAACACATTATCCGTTGTTTTAAGCAAGGGAATAGCTTGACAAATGTTTTTAAAACTTTACTGTGCCTGTGTAGAGCATAGATTGCAGGGGGTCAAGGCTGGAAATGGCAGCCCAGTTAGAAGGCTGATGAACTGGTCCAGAGGATGGGTAGTGGCCTGAACCAGAGAGACAAAAGTGGGATCAAGAAAAGTAGATGGCTGTGCCACTTGCTGTGGCTTCAAGGAAGTTACTTAACCTCAATTAAATCACTTAACCTTCACTGAGTTAAGTCTCAGGATTTTTTCCCATTGTTTATGGAGGACAGTAATAGTATCTGCATCCTAGAATTTTCAGGGGGTTAAATGAGAGAATGCATATAGAGCACATAGCACAGCATCTGCCACATCATAACCACTGACAAGGTGCAAGTGACCATTGCTAGAAGTGGAAGTCATGTTGGCAAATATCACAGGGTGCATTCAGGGCATGCTGCTTAAATGAATGAAATAAGTGAATAGACAGTGTGTGCAAGAAAATGCCCTTTTCAAGACTGAAATCTTGTTTAAAAGGTATAAATAGTACTGGTGAGAAAGGACATAGAGAGTTGGGGGAGGGGAGTTGTCTAAAGAGGTCAATATGCTCTCTTGGTGAGCTCTTCTGAGAGTTAGGGCACAAAGGGAATGTGTCCAAATGGTGAACAGGTGGGGCAGGCAGGCTGGAAGAGGGTCAGGAAACAAAAGGCTGTAAGCAGCACAGATGTGTGAAAAAGCTATTTTTAGTTTGGTACAAGAAGCCTACAGAAGAAGTACAACCCCTAACCCTAGTCCTCTTTGCCTCTGTCATCTCTACCAGAGAAATCAATCATCATGTCAGAAGGGCAGGTGTTAAAATTGGTCAGAGGAAATAAAAATCCAAAAGAGATGAAGATATAGTGAGAGAATGTCATGCTCTATTAAATGCATTCAAGTCTTATTGCTCAGACAAATGACATGTGAGGGTTCAACTCAAAATATGAATGTTTTGTTGTTTTTGCGGGTTTTAAAGGAATGTATACTCATTTTTAAGACTAAAACTATCAATAGAAACTATTTTGAGCACCAACTATATGGCAGGAAGTAGGCCTAGAGCTTTGTATATATTTATGTCATTTAGTTATCACCCAAACTTATTATATACATATAATTACTTACCCATTCTACAAATAATGAGCCCAAGACCAAGAGAGCATAAGTGACTTTCCCAGAGTCATGCAGCTAGTTCTATGACTTGCTCATTTGGACAAGTTATTTAATCTCCCTAAGCCTCAGTTGGTTCAACTCTTACAGAGGATAATGACCTAACTGGCTTGGCTGACTCGAGTTTCCAGTCCTCTCTCCCAGTAGACTGAAGTGTGCTCGGACATTAGAACCACACTGTCATTCAAAACTTTCTTTTATATATATACATTTTATTGCATTTTAGGTTTTGGAGTACATGTGAAGAACATGCAGGATTGTTGCATAGGTACATATATGGCAATGTGGTTTGCTGCCTTCCTCCCCATCACCTGTATCTGGCATTTCTCCCCATGTTATCCCTCCCCAACTCCCCACCTCCACTGTCCCTCCCTTAGTTCCCCCCCACAGACCCCAGTGTGTGATGCTCCCCTACCTTTTTTTTTTTTTTTTTTTTTTTTTTACAACTTAATAACTTTATGTCTTCAGGCAAGTCACATAGCCATGTGCCTCAGCTCCTTTTCTGCAAACTAGGGAACTTAATGGTGACAATGGGCTGTTGCAAGGATTAAATTAGCTAATACAGGCCAAATGCTGAGAATAGTACCTGCTCTGTCATAGCTAATAGCTGATATTAATATAAGTGGTAGCAGTAGTATTTCTATCGTGTGTTGTTAGGACAACATAACTTATCCCAGCAAGGTTCATTAGAAGAAAAAAATGGACTTTCAAGGGCAGGCAGATCTCTTCTGAGAATTCAAGGAGCTCACAGCTGTGAAACACTCAGAATAGTGCCTGGAAAATAGTCGGGCTTATGTCCATGTTTAGTCATTATTATCTATAAATTCCACAACACAAGCTCTTAACTTCTATTTGCTACTTCTTCACACTACATAATCATACGTAAAAAAAAATCTCATCATCCAGAGACAGATATTGTTAATAGTTTCATGCATGTCTTTCTTTACTTTTGAAGAGACTACATAAATGTGTTTATATGCCATGTTTATGTTTAACTGAGTTAAACACAGTGGGTGTGAACTCTGGCATTGGCAGATAGTAGATCTGTGGCCTTAGGGAGGTAACTTCACTTGCCTGAATCATAGCTTCTTTATCTGCAAAATGAGGATAATAATCATATTTTCTTATCTGCAAAATGAGGATAATAATTTCATAGTGGTAATGAGGACAAAATATAGCATTTTCAGGCACTTAGAACATAACCTTGTCACATAGGCTTGAAAAAGAATTAGTAATTTAAAAGAGATGTTCAACACAATGGCCAGAGTCATCCTTATAAATCAGATTGTGTTACTTTTCTGCTTAAACTCTGAAATTTTCTTACTGTGTTTGGAATTAAATTAATATGCCTTACCTTGGTCTATGTGAAGGGTTTTGCTGGCCTGAAAAATGTTATTTCATTTTCTACTTAGTTCAGAACTGAGGGAGATATAGATGAATATTTGGTGTGTGTGATTTAAATCTGTGGCATAGTAGGTATTTTGAACTAAATTGTACCCTCCCCAGCCAAATTAATATGCTGAAGCTCTGATCCTCCAACATGACCACATTTGGAGGTAGGGCCTTTAAAGAGCCCACAAATATTCCAGTTGCAGTCCCAGCATATGGAGACATGAGAAGTGGGGGATATGAATTATCCTACTAAGAATCTACAAGGCCACGAAGGAGGAACCCTAATTCAGTATGACTGGTGTCCTTCTAAAGAAGAGAAAAGGCTGGGTCCGGTGGCTCACACTTGTAATCTCAACACTTTGGGAGGCTCAGGTAGGCACACAAGGTCAGGAGATGGAGACCATCCAGGCCAACATGGTGAAAACCCATCTTTAATAAAAATACAAAAAAATTAGCTGGGCATGGTGGCCCATACCTGTAGTCCCAACTACTCAAGGCTGAGACAGGAGAATCGCTTGAACCCAGGAGGCAGAGGTTGCAGTGAGCTGAGATTGTGCCACTGCACTCCAGCTTGACGATGAAGCGAGACTCCATCTCAAAAAAAAAAAAAAAAATAGGAAGGAGAGCTACCAGGAAAATGCCTAGTAGCCTCTCAAAGTCTCATGTCTACTGAAGTTCATGTATCTTCTTGCTGTTTCCAAAGGAGCAGTGATTCTCTCTTTCTCTCTCCCTCTATCAATCATCTATCTACCTAGTTATCTTCCTACTTACCTATCTAATTTAGGTCTTCCAAAACTTGTGTGAATTCCTCATACTGGCAGACTCTAGTTTTCAGAGATTCTGGGATATGTGGCTCACAGTCACAGGTTTCTGGCCACTATGATACATGGAAGATCATAGAAGGGAGGATGACATTGAGTTGCTAACACAGTCTGGTGCAGATTCTCAGAGTAAAGGATGCTGGACAAACACCAC